CTCTGTTGGCTTCTTTTCAGCTTCAACTTTTATCTCAAATTTATCCTTGTACATTGCATTTTCATTAAATGTAACATCCCTGCTTCTAATAATCTTTTTGTTCAGATCATCCCAAAAGCGATATCTCATATCATCTACTCCATAGCCAATAAAAATACATTTTCTTGCTTTCGGATCAAGCTTATCATTGTTAACATCTTTTAACACAAACATAAGAAGTACAACCAAATACTTACAAATGAGAAAGACTTACATCCTTGTCTTCGCATTTTCCCTTGAGAATCTTAAATCCTATGAGAATTGAGGGTCCTCGATTAATGAGGTATGTTTCGTACTCATTGTTTCTGCCCAAAATATTTTTGGTAATCATGCATGAATTCTCATACTTTGTACCCTCTCATTCATGGTCCTGTTTATTCTTTCAGTGATACCATTCTTCTGAAGTGTCTCAGAAATAGTTTTAAGCATTCTAATTTCATTCTCAGCATAATAATCAACAAATTCAATACTACTATATTCACCACCATTACCAGACTTTAAACATTTAATTTTTAACCATATCTTATTCTTTCCACTTCTTAAAGGTATTAAATACTTCTGATTTTTGCTTCAAAAAATAAACACATACATTTCTAGTGGAATCATCAATGAAGGTGACATAATATCGTGATCTTCCTAATGAGACTGATGTTAGCCCATACACATCTGAATGAACAAGTTCCAATTTCTCTACCTTGGGCATCCTCCATGACTTTGCAAAAGTAACTTTTTTCTGCTTCCCAAACACACATGGTTCACAGAAACTAACTTCTACGTTTTTCAGTTATGGAATCTTCCCCTTTGAAACTAGTATCTTTATACCCTTCTCGCTCATGTGACCAAGTCTTTGGTGTCACAAAGTTGAAGAATGACCAAAATCATCACCAACATCATCACTAATTGAATTTACTTCTTCTGTAGGTAATTATGTCATGTATAAGGTTCCTTTCTTCTAACCACGAGCAACAATTAGATTACCATTCACCACCTTCCATTTGTCTTTTCTAAATTTGACTCGATATTCTTGAACATCCAGCATACCCACAGAGATTAACATTCTCTTAAGTCCTAGAATATATCTGACATTCTTTAGAGTTCATACTATACCCGTAGATGTTTTTAGATTTATATTTCTCATGTTTGCGATGTCTAAAGATTCATCATCTGCTAAACACACTTTACCAAAACTTCCACTTCTAAAATTTTTCATCAAGTCCTTGCAAGGAGAAGCATGGAAAAATGCATCAGAATCCATGATCCAGTATTCAAACTTGCTCTCAACACAACAAATCAATGCATCATCATTTTCTTCATTTGTTGTATTCATTGTATTATCATGTCTTTTTTCTTTAAGAGCAGTACACTGATTCCTAAAGTGTTCGTTCTGCTGACAATTCCAACAAGTAGCATCCTTACGAGATTTGGATTATCTTTGCTCCTTGGAATTTGATCTACTACGTTCAGAGACTTGCCCTCTTTCAAGCTCTCTACCTCTACCTTCGGTGCTTAATAAGGAATTTGTTGATTCTTAAACATTCCTTCTACGAAGATCCTTATTAAGGATTAAATCCCTAATTCCTTCAAAGGTTAATTTCACAGTCCTAGATGTACTGGCTACTGTGACAGTCCCTGACCAACTATCAGGCAACGAAGATAATAATAACAGGACTTATACTTCATCATCAAATTTAATATCCAGTGATACTAATCTTGATAATAAGGAATTGAATTCATTCACATGATCTATAACACTAGCACCTTCTTGCATCTTCGTATTAACTAATTGACGAATCAAAAATACTTTGTTTGATGTCGATGGCTTCTTGTACATGTTTGATAATGTTTTTATCAAACCATTTGTCGTCTTCTCATTGTTGATGTTGTAGGAAACATTCTTCGCCAATGTTAATCTGACAACGCCCCAAGTTTGTTGATCTAACAACTCTTAATTTGTCTGAGACATCATTTCTGGTTTATTCTAGACAAAGGCTGATACAACTTTTTTTAATAAAGATAATCTTCAATCTACATCTTCCAAAATCCAAAATTGCTTCCATCAAACTTTTCATTCATTGAGTCTTCAGCCATTACTCCTACTCGCATGAAAAAACCTAAGCTCTTGATACCAGTTGTTGGGAACACAAATGCAATAGAAGACGAAAGAAAAATACAAGAATACAATGAATTTACGTGGTTCAATCACAGTGCCCTATGTACACAGCTGTACTAGATGATAGTTCACATTCACATATTAGGTTTACAATTACACAAATATTTATAATAAAAGAATAAGTAAATGGGTCAGACCCAACAACCCTTCAGACTTTACATACTTAACAATCTCCCACTTGGAGGCTAATCACATCAAGCACACTCCAAGACTATTCACTCCAAATCCACCTTTCACTTGTCATATAAGATTTATAACTCACTAACTCTAATAGTAGTAACAGCTGATCCTCATAGTTCATCTAGAGGTTGACTCCTAACAAACTCATATTTCATATACTAGTATAATGAGTAGTGAGCTAGTCTAGTTAACTCATTTAAAGATCTTTAATCACTAAGCTTCACTTTATTATTATGAAGTGAAATTTTATTCATATGGGATGATTTATATTTCATTAAAACAAAGTAGAAATTAAAACATTGATGACACTCCGTACTAAAGATAAAAAAAACAACAAAAATCCTATATTTTATTAATAGTCACTAAAAAACAAACACAACCCCAAGTTAACATTATAATAAATGGAACTTAATGACGGTGATCAAATATGAAATTTTTTTTTCTAAGAACCAAACACAAAACTAATAAACTTATTAGAGATAAAAAGTTTAAGTCAAAACAAGAAAGTATATGAACAAACTCATAGATGATGTGCAAAGTTGACCATCAGATCACCACTAAAATAACACAACCTAATAGTAGGCATAAAATGGGAAAAAAAAATACCAAGAACTAATAAACTAAGAAATTTATGAGACTAAACACAAAATGGGTGAATTTATTTGGTACCCAAAAGGTATTTAAGCCAAGATCATTCAAGAATTCTCCACAAATTTTATCTTTAACAATCAAGTAAGCATGGGTTAGAATAGAAAAGCAAATATCTTCACCCTTCTCCAAAATCCCCAAGACCAAAAAAGAAAACCATAAGACTCTCCTTTATAATTTACACCTAAGCATGAATTAATGAAACATGTACAAACAAATATATAACACATTATATATATATATATATATATATATATATATATATATATATATATATATATATATATATATATATCAAATGACTAAATATAACTTAAAGTTTCACCCATTGTTTAAACTTCTCAAAATATATAAATAACTTTCAAACACATTAATACAACTAACAATAATTCATCTTCTTATAACTCAAAAAATTTTCAAAACAAAACATAAATTATTAATATACCTCCTACATATATAAGCATAAAATTTATTCATTGAAAATTACCATTATCATTATACTTCTCAAGTTTTAAGTCACCTTTCACTTACTTGGCAATATACTTACTATTTTTGATAAAAAAAATAGATATATTTGTAGTTATACTAATCTTATAAATTAAGATTTGATTGAAGTCTTTTTATTCTTTTAAATTAAAATTAGTTTGTATAGTTAAGGTGTTAGTGTTCTTTTTATTTTCTAAATTTGAAATAAATATAATAAAGAGGGAAAATTGAATATTTAAGAATGACAAAAAAAATTATATATGAGACACTCACCTATTAGCCCGCCTACAAAGGTGTGGGAAGGTCGATGATTTTAATTCACCAACTCATTTTTGATATGTCTCACCTAGCCTGCTAAGTCAAGAATAAGATAGGTTAACCCATTTTTAAATTATATTTATATATTAAAATTTAAAAAATTATAATTACAAATATTATTTTTTGTGTGTTATATTATTGAAATATGTATATATATTATAATTTAAATTATAAAAATTAACTAATTAAGTTTAAATTATTAATTATAATTAATTATTTTAATACATAAATATAATATTTTTTTAATTTATCTAATAAAAACACTATATAAATAAAAACTTAAAATGTATTCATATAATTAAATATATATTTAAAAAAATACATGTAAAAAAAAATTATCCACGGACTAACAACCTACTAATTTGTCAGGATGAGATGAATTAAAATCGAACAGATTTTATCAAATTTTGACAGATCAACCTATCTCACTTCATTTTTAATAAACTAAAGACAGCTCATCACAATATACACTAACCCATTTTGTTATTCTCCAAATATTAACAATTTTCTAAGTTTTCAGATTGTATAACTGTTTCATTCCCTTCTTCTCAGTCCCATTCTCTTATGCTCTGCACACGATTTTGATTCCTCGTGGCATTCATGTGCACAATTTTATTGAAGGTCGACATGCTTTCCTCCAATCTCCATCTTGTCTCTTACGTGTACGTTTCTATCGTTCCTATAAACTAAGCGATCCTTGAACATAAGAAACGACTTTAAGAGCTCCAGTAGAAGATACTCTTAGGTTCATGTGATTCAAACATGCAAACTCCAGCAGAAGATACTCTTAAATTCATGTGATTCAAACATGCAAACTCGACCACACAATTTACAAGCTTGATTGAACCATGTAACATGGTCCATGTTCAAGTTAAAATCCAGGTCAGACCAAACTCAAGTGAAATTCAAAAAATATACTTTTCCATGTAAGTCAAACCAAACTAGACATTTCCTTCTGTTTGGTTCGATACATTTCCAGCCATAATCAATGACTACGGGTATAGACAATAAAAGCTTCATAACTTTTAAATAACTGCAACATCATAATCTGAATTATAAATTAGCAAGAGGCATGAAATTACGCGGGCCAAGTATACAAAAAAAAATTTAACATTATAGAAATCAGAATATAAAATCAGACCAACAGCAGCTATTGTATTTAATGTCTCCACTTTCCTCCTCTCCCATGACCACCACGCCCACCTCCTCTTCCACCCCTCCCTCTGCCACCCTTTCCTCCATGTCCATGATGCTTTCCTCCACCACCACCACCACCACCACCTAGTGCCTTGTTCGCATCAGATTTCAAATGCATCTCTTCTGGCAAGGGAAGAATGTGATCCACACACTTCCTGAAGCTAAAATCATCGGCTGAGTCATCCTCCCTGATGAGGAAAAAGCACCTACTTTTGTAGGTAGGGTGCTTGCGAACTTGGAAAGCACGAATGCCCCCACCAATCTTTTTGTCAGGCTCTGCATGACCGTTCTTAAGCAATTCCAACAACATCAGATGTTCATACTGCCACACAACACAAGTCAGTATGTATTCACATCATTTAAACATTTAAACGCATTTTGCAATTAGCAATAAGTTTTGTCATGCAGTTCAATACTTCAACCGGAGTATGCCCATATGCAAAACAAGTGTGTTAGAACACTTTGGTGGCACTGAAAAGTGATTAAGATATCCATGAATATAAACAACTAATTCAATGCAGTTTTTAAGGCTTTTGAATGAAACTACATTACTGATAAAATATGTTGATTGTTTCCACCTAAGAAGGTACCATCAAAGTTATACACTCCTATGAAATCATAACCATAGAAAATAAAATACCAATAATCTACATGAGAGAATGAATTTATGAAACCATATTCAATAATCATAACAAAAAAAAAAACAAATGTCAATCGTTCCCCCAAACAGAGATAAGGGGTTTATGAAATCATAATCACATAAAATCAAATGTCAATCTTTCCCACATGAGATAAGGGGTTTATGAAATCAGATTCATAGAAATCAAACATCAACAATCGACACGAGTAACTAGCTAGAAATTACAAAAAAAAAAGTTAGGTTATGAATGCGGGTTATTAAAAAGAAGAAAAAAAAACAGGGGTTATTAAAAATACCTTGTTAATATTAAGATATTGAGGCCAGGTATGAAGTATATTGTAGAAGTAATGGAACATCTCCGTAGAAGAACCGAAGCTCTTGTATCCCAACTGCACTGGACAAGTCGCGTCCTTCTCTTCTTCTTTTCCCTCTGTTTCTGCTTCGGCTTTTTTCCCTTCCACTGCTTCCTTTTCTTTTTCTTCCTGTTCATCACACTTCTCCAACCGTTGTTCCTCAACGGACTTTTCTTCGTCCACCTTTGGCTTCTTCGAAACGTCGTCGACCAGGGCCTCCTCGTCCTCCCTGGCACGCTTCTGGTTAGACTCGCCGCCGTTGTCAGCAGCCTCGACATTCTCGACATCCATGTCTACGGTGGTCATGGTGTTGGGATCAACGACTTCCGACGCAACCCCTTCTACCATGACGGAGGGTTTTGTGTGAGTTCTAAAACCCTAGATTGTGATAGGGAGTGGTTAGTTTTACCAGTGATTAGGGAGAACCGTGCATAAAGGGGATACTGGACACTCTGTATTTATATTGGAAGGTTAATAGGCTGAGTGGAAAGGTGACATGGTCCCAGAGTGCTAATCATGCTTCTTTCTCTCTCTCCCACTCACAAATTTTCAAAACTAATTTTAAAAATTAGGTCTCAGTATTTTAAAATTGATTTGAATTTAAATAAATAAATTATTAATTTTATCTCAAATATTATGAATTATTATTATAATATTTTTAAAACTATTATGAGAAAATTTTATATCCATCAGCAACTTTTTTTTTAAGCTCAAGCTCAAGATATTTGACTGTATTGATCACTCTCGTCATGAACAGTCCTCTGAACCACACATATCAATGTCATTTGTTAAAATAATATTTTCTAAAAACAAAAAATATTAAACAAACTTTTGACATTAAAATTTATTAATTATATATATATAAGTTCTTACACTTTTATCCCCTCTAAATTAAAATGGAAATTCATTTTTTCCTTAATAGATGGTGACATTCATATTTTCACTGATTTGTAACTATGCATTCATATTTTCAATAAATAACACTTATTTTTATTAAATATAAAAAACATTTAATTTTTTATTTTATTTTTAAATATCATATTGATTAAAATTTCAATAAAAAGAAAATTAAAACTAAATATTTAAATATAAAAAACTATAAATAAAAATTTAAATGATTTAATTATTATATATTAAAAATATCATAAATATTATTAAAATATAATTGGTCTTGTAAACAAGGTATATTTTCTAGAAAATATTATTTTTTTGTAAAATTTAATAAATAACTAAAAAATATGTGATTAAATTTAATAAAAAATTGAAAACTTTAATTTATTTAAATTTTAATAGATATGTTATTTTTAAATAAAAAATATATATAAATATTATTTAACATAACTTTACCGAATGAAGGTAGGTATAACCTTTATCATAATTAGTTTGGATATATTATCATCCCAAAAATTAAAATGAAACTAATCTTTTTACACAGTAGGCTATAATGATAATAACTTAATATATTATAATGTTAATATTAAAATTATTTATTTAAAAATGTTAATGATTATGATGATTATTTTTTATCATAAAATATGTTATAATTTTTTTATATCTCATATTATTATGAAGTATTTTGAACAATATTTTTTATTCTATTTTTTATTTAAGTACTTTTATTTTATTTAAAATTATTTCACTTGTCTATATTATCCAATAGAGAAAATATAATTGTGTCAAATTTTTTTTACATATTTTTTTATTTTTATTTATACTTTTAATAAAACATATCGAGTGTTCGATTGAGAATAGTATCTGGCCAGGTGCTCAAATATGGTATTTTAATAAAACATATCAGTGCTCAATTGAGAATAGTATCTGGTCAGGTGCTCAAATTTGGTAGCATACTCATGCACTTATAGATCTCCCTGCTCTAACTTTAGAAATTCTGCCTCCTTAGCAAATTGTGCACTGCGTGGGAAGTACTTTCCCATAAACTTCTCTCTGAAGCTTTCCCAACTGATAGCTTCGTCTCTGGCAATCAACAGCCTCTTGGTTCCTTTCCACCAAAATTCAGCATCCCCTGCTAATAGATATACAACAAAAGTAACCTTCTTATCCTCAGGGCACTCCATAACATCAAAAATCTTCTCTATCCCTTCCATCCACATATCTACCTGATATGGGGTAGAATCTCCTGAAAACTTAGGCAGCTCGTGCTTCAAGAAGCCAACCAACACTGCTTGCCCTTGTGGCTAACTGGAGGAGGAAGCTGGAGTGGGGTTAGAAGTTGTTGCTGCTACTGCAGCTGCTGCCGCTACAGTGACCTCCCTTGATGCTTGCAATTCTTGCATAGCAGCCTGGTGTTGTTGTGTCATTACTACTCCTTGTTGTTGCATGGTAGCAGTCATTACTTCAATGACTCTTAGTATTTGACTCACCTCAGACTGGGGCTGAGGCTGAGGCTGGGGAGGTGGTCTAGGAGCCATCCTAGACATAAGAAGAAAGCAAAAATTATCATTCTATAATATACTACAACTATTTTAAGTCTACACGCAGTTAGCATAGCAGGTCCATAACCCTAAGGTTTCCTAGAAACTACCGCTTTGATACCAATTTGTGACAACCCGCAAATTCTACTTAAAATTTTTCACTAAAGGAAGGAAGGAAATAATTTTTTCACCTATGAGAGGTATAATAGTTCAGTTTACAATCATCCAGAATAGTTGAAAAGAAAAAAAAAAACATCACACCTCAAAAGTTATAATTACACTAATAATTTACACATAATTATATAACCCAAAATAATTTCTTCAAATTTAAGAGGTATCTACTCCATCTATCAAATTATTGGATGTTACTACCACCTGCAGAAGATTTGGAATCTGCTCACGTGTATAACACGATCATAGCAGAATCTCAAAAGATCAAGCACACAACAAAAGCAAGGGTAAACTACCATTTGATTAAACATGTAGAACATTATAACATTACAAATGACACTTATTCATTCACAAACATCCTAAAACTAGACTTACCGGAGAGTCTAGCATTTTACAATCACAACACACAACAAGACTGACGCTTTCCGAAAAATTATATGGAATTCATACCAGTAAGGTAGACACCTGATGAGGAATATTTGGGGTCCCAGACCCTTAAAATTTCATGGCCCCAGACCTATAATATCATTTTTTTCAACCTCTCATCAGAGCAACACATGCATAGGATTGACACTATGTTGTGTCTCCATCGACTTCCTACCACAAATGTCTTTGTCTATATGACTAGGAACATCTGGGAAGTTTGGATACCCTATTACACTTATCCATAATTTCATACACATTATTCTACACACTACATCAAATCTATCATTCAACAACTATTCCATACACATTATTCTACTTAGGGTTTCTAGAATCAAACCAACATCATGCAGTTCACAATGTTCAGTCCAACATTTAAAATTATCAACTACTATGCAATCATAATTCACTTAAAACGGTACATCCTTTCTCTTTCAAACCACACAAACCAACCATACAATTTAGAAATTCAATGATACAAAGATATCTATTTCAGCCAATCTATTTCAAAACAGTTTACATTGCAAGGTTTCCACAAGTGCTCACAATAGCATACCACCTACAACACGTATATATATCACAAGCATACTCATCATTCACTTTATTTAACTTTTCATCAATACAATACAACCAGTAAAAATCAAAGAAGCATCCCTTACCTGCGGGTGATGTTACATGTCAACCTAATTCCAATAAAGCCTTAGGAACGCCAAAACACCTAAGAGGTACCGTTCTCCCCCAATTTGGAAAACCCTAAAAACGAAATTGAAGTAATAAACAAAATTAAACCCGAGAACATGAAATTGGGGAGTGACAGAGTAATAGGAAACCTTTAATTCCACAAATAATTCCTTAAATTCTCAAAACCCCAAATTTTAACTTGTAAAAAACCTAAAATTCAAACTTACAGAAACGAAATTCTAATCGGAGGCTCTTCTACTGTTCTCCATCATGAGCACAACGAAGTCCTCAGATTCTTGATCGGGGAAGAAGAAGATCTTGATCTGTAGGAGAGAAGGTAGAGCTGAGCTATGGAGAGGGGATTTGTTTGCACGAAGGAGAAGGAAACCCATATTTTCTCTCTCTTCTTCTTTTTTAATTTTCTTTTAATTAAAGCATATTACAATATTTCCCAACAATTTAAAATTTTCGTCCTCGAAAATCATACTTACCAAGTAAACAGTTGCGGATAGTTCTTTCGCATCTTCTCCTCTAGTTCCCATGTGCAGTCACTCGGCTTGGTATTCCAGACTACCTTGACCACTCTCATGGTTTTACCTTTATACTGCCTGAGTTGTGAGTCTTCTACTCTCACTGGAGTGGCTTCAAAAGACAGATCTTCTCTCACTTGGATTTCATCAGCTTCCAAAATGTGGCTTGGGTCAAACACATATTTTCTTAATTGAGATACGTGGAATATAGGGTGCATCCTTGCCAAGGGAGGGGGGAGGGCAATCTCATAAGCTATTGGTCCAATACGCCTGGTAATCTGGTAGGATCCAATAAATTTCGGGGTTAGCTTCTTGGGTGTTATGACCCTCCCAACTCCAGTCATAGGTACGACTCGGAGAAAAACATGATCACCAGTTGAGAACTCCAAGGGTCTCCTCCTCCTCCGCATAAGACTTTTGGCGGCTTTGTGCAATCTTCATTCTGCTCTACACTAACCTCACTTTGTTTGTAGTTTGTTTTACTAACTCTGGCCCAACCAGGAATTTCTCACCATCCTGATATCTATTTCAGCCAATCTATTTCAAAACAGTTTATACTGCAAGGTTTCCACAAGTGCTCACAATATCATACCACCTACAACACATATATATCACAAGCATACTCATCATTCACTTTATTTAACTTTTCATCAATATAATATAGCCAGTAAAAATCAAAGAAGTCTCCCTTACCTGTGGGTGATGTTACACGTCAACCTAATTCCAATAAATCCTTAGGAACGCCAAAACACTTAAGAGGTACCATTTATTGTAAAACTTAAATTAGACGTTTAGTATTTCTAAAATAATATTAATGGTTTTAATTACGAGTGGCATAACCAATGGGTTGTAAACCTATTTAATAGGTATTATGATTTATGTTTGGCATTTGAATAGGCAAATATTTGGCCATAAATAATTATAACAACTCATTTGAAATTGCATCAGGAGAAAAATTGAGAGTGTTGTTTTGTTTTCCTGTTACCAACAAATTAGTATCAAAGCTTGTGTGTGAGGTAAGTGTGAGAGAGCCCACCAAGCCTCAAGAGAGAACGTCGCAATGTGTGCTGGCTGAGAAAGAGAGAGGAGCAACTCAGAACTTTATGAGGTG